GTGTCCCTGGGGAGATGCCCTATTTGTGTGCACTGATTAGTCCAAGAACACACTCCTCTGTCAACACAGGCTCATTTAAGGCCAGCACCAACGTGCCAGGGCCTGCGGACAGGTGAGGAAATCAAGGCCCAGCAAAGCCAAGGGCATATGTTTGGGAAGGTGGTAACAATGGAATTCGAACCCACATCTCTTGATGATTTTCTTCTGTAAACACCCAAGGGGCATCTCTATACTAGGTTTCGGGGACCCCCACACAAAGGACTGTGGCCCTGCCCCTCAGAGACAGCCCAGTCCAGTGGGAGCACGTTCAACAACACAATTACACGAGGGGGTGATCTGTGCCAGTGTGATAATGGTAAACCCCAGAGAGGGTGGCAAGGAGGGCTCCTGGGAGAGTCTGGTGATGAGGAAGAAACTTCCAGAAGAGGGGCCTGCCGTACAAGGCACTGGGCCATGAAGCAAAGAGGCAGGCTCAGGGGATGGGCAAGGGTTTGGTTTGGGGGAAGCCTGGCCTTAGAGAAGGGGAGTGGTGGGTGACAAGATTGGAGAAATAGGGCCTGAACCCGGAATGTCTTTTAGGACCCAGTTTTTATCATGAAGGCAGCCGGTGGAGGGCCTGGGAAAAATTAGGAGAGCAGCACACAGCCCTATGGGGAAGACTTGAGGGGAAAAGACCAGGGTAGGGGGCTACTTAGGGGGTGATAACTAATCAGAGTCCTGGGGATATAGCCAGAGGTCCTTCCAGCCCGCTGTTGGCCCAAGAATCCATTGTGAGGACTGAGGATGAAGGAAGCCGGCGGAGACTCTCCATCCATGCACCCCAGCATCCCCTCCTCTTCTGGTCAAGGTGGCACCCTCCACCTGGACTCCTGTCCCACTTGTGTGCCTGGCCTGCCGGAGGTGTGCGGAGGACGTGGCATAGATGGATGCCCTTCTCCCGAGGCTGTGTCGTAAGAGTGACAGCACCTGGCATTCATGCTTTTTACTTCTGCAAAATACCTTCCATAGTGGGTTGAATGCCTCTCCCTGCCCCCCCCCCGCGGGGAAAAAAACAGAAAAAAACCCAGACAGCCCAAGTCCTAACCCCTGGTGTGAATGTGACCTTATTTGGCAACTGGGTCTCTGGAGATGTAATTAAGGATCTCAAGGTGAGCTCATCCTGGAATTAGGGTGAGTCCTAAACAAAAGGGCTGGTGTTCTTATAAGAAAAAAGAGGGAGATTTGAGATGACGATTCAGAAGGGGCCTAGAGAAAGCCCTGTGAAGAAGGGAGGAGACTGGGGTCAGCCAGTGACCTTGAGACGCCAAGGGAGGCCAGCCATCGTGGGAAGCCAGAAGAGGGGCCTGGGCCCATTTCTCCCTCGGAGGTTCCAGAAGGAACCAATCCTGCCAACGCCTTGATCTCGGACTTCAGGCCTCCAGAACTGTGAGAAAATCAATTTCTGTTGTTTTAAGCCATCGAGTGTGTGGTAATTTGTTACGGCAGCCCCAGGAAACTAATACATCTTCCCACGTAGAAATTCAGTTTCCTAAGATCTCACCCCTTTTACAGTGAAGCAAATAGAAATACCGCCAAGGTCCCACAGCTGACTAGTGTCCACTGGGAATCTGGCCTGGGTCTCCCACCTCGCAGGTGCTCTGTCTCACTCAGATCAGGGGAGCTGTCCCCCTCCCCCGTTTATATTACCACCTCGGGGCTCCCAAGTGGACCGGGGCCCATTGTCCCTGCGATGCCCTGGAGGAGGGCTCTGGGACCTCCCTGCTGGACCCTCACAGTCTGCCCTTTGGTGCCCAGAGCTTATCCCCAGCCCTGTGTTTGCACTGATTAATTAATTCATGGCTGCAAAATGGACTTGTAAATCGCTAAACACACAGTGGTGTCAGCTGTAGTCACCATCATGATGAGGCTCTCATCCAACGCCAGCTGCAGGTTTCCTGAACGGTCACCCTGCTCCTTCCCCTTTATGAACTGAGCTGCTCTGAAAAGCCGGGGGTTTGGGGTACCCCTAGAACCCTCTGAGACAAAGCTGTGGACAGGCAGCATGGCTATCAAGGCGGCAGGGGACCATGTTCCCAGTGGAAGCAGCACAGTGCACGGGGGAAGCCACTCCTGGGCCTGTAGGCTGCGTGGGGCAGGCCTGCTGCTGAGAGAGGCTCAAGGGACTGGGAGCCCGGGTAGGGGAGAGCCTTGAACCTGAGGCCTTGGGAGTCACTGAAGGAGCCGGACTTTCAGCTTTGGGTCTGATTTGCATTTTAGAAAGAGCCCACTGGCTGCCAACCTGGGACCACTCTCTACGTAAGGGCCAGAGAAGGGGCTCCAGCAGCAAACATGTCAGAATCCACAAGTGGCCGAAAAGCAGCCCCAGGAAAGAAGATACCATTCCCCAACACCCTGAAGGATTCCATGCTTTGTAAAATGGCAAACTGTGGAAGGTCAAGATAAACCATAGTCATTAGCAAAGTT